TGTTACTCTGAGTTTCGCGCCCTATGGCTGTTCCAAGTTATGACATGGCAGGTAGCAAATTTGGATTCGTCATTTGATTGTTTTTAATATTGAGTCTAGGTCAGGTTTATATAGGCCAAACCATTATAAAGTCAAATCTGATACGCTGTGCATATTTCTTAAAGATTAATCAACATTAAATTGTATTTTTCAAGAGTACAATCAAGTTGATTTAGAACAATTATCCATGTTAGGCATAAAATAATAGTTTGATAGATATTCATTTATAGTTTACATAGGCCTTTCCTCGTTTGATCCTTGAACACCACCAAGAATGGTTCTCAAATCAAATTACTTTCTTTCACTACTTTGCCGAAGTCTGACCGATGCTAATTACTAAACAGGGTGGATCTAGAGAAAAATCTGGGTAGGGACAAGGCAATTGCCTTGGTATGGGCCATGCGACACGCGAAGCACCGAGCGGGGAGGCAGCGGTGTTTGAGATGTTTGTTGGGAAATGGTTGATCCTAGACACTGGTAGGGCCTACATGGAATTTAAATCGAAAATTAACTTTTTGGAGTACCGTAACCTCCTTCTTTCTTTTTGTTTTCTTCTCTTTTTTTCTCATCATTGGAGGCGCACTAGCTCCCTCAGGGTCCACCCTTGTTAAATATCACAATAAATAATTATTCCCAACAATATTGGTGATTCAATGTGCTAAAAAGTATTAAAACAAATTTTTAGTTTATTACGACCGAATTATGTACGTGTAAAGCAACAATGAAAATAAAAGAAAAAACTCACCTATTCCGTGTATTTCGGAACCATCGACACCTACGTACGTAACCAAAATCATAAAGTAGATCTATTGTACCTGAAATTCCCTCCTAGCTCTCGAAGCGCATTCGAATACAAACCTGCTACATTTATGAATGAAGTTGACAGATCGACTTCTTAGTGTATTCCGCAGGCGTGCGATATTAAACGATGAGTGACGCTTCACGAAGTGTTTTGTATGTATGATCTAAAGTAAAAGCAGTCTTTTATTTATTAATTGGAACCATGAACATTTTTTTACCGTTGATGTTTACGGTATATCGGTATAGTGTGAGCTAACAAGCAACAGTGTGATAATCACAGAACAGAGAACCATTAACCGTAAGACTCGATTATTACATGTTTTGTAGGTAAATGTCAAAAGCATTTTAAATCTCCAATAGGCCTATATTCAGCTTTTTCTAATAATTTTTGTAGTTTAAATGAATTGAAAATATGCTGTTCTATATTTTATTGCAACATTTGTTATTGCGCGTTGTAAATAATCCGACAGCCTTAACTATATTACTATCAAATACAAGCACACAGTCAGTACAGAACCGATAGACTAATATCAGCTTGATTGTTATAAATTTAACTACACAATAGCCTAGTTTTCACGAGAGCCTAGTATCCGGATCGGGAGCTAACCGTTAGTCAGCCTTGTATGAGATAATGTTGTACTCGAATTGTTGTAGTTGGTGCATAAGTGCACTATTAAAAACTGAATTATATATAAAAACGAAAACAAAAAATAAACAAATAAGAATAAAAATATCAAAAGAAAAAAATCTAATGACTAACACAGGCCAACTTAAAATGTGACTACCGGTATCTATTATATTCTTAATGAATATCGGCCATTATTAATGTTATCGTTTTGGTTACCTTTATATGTTCAGAATGAAAATCAATGTTACCTATTTCGAAAAGATAGTGTTCATGACGGCACAGTCAATTATTATCATTATTATTATTACGTCATACTATAATAGTAATATCATTATAATTTTCAGTTATATTATCAATATGATACGTAGGCCAGCAGATTAGAGGCCATTTTGGGGTGGAGGTGGCAATGGAAGTACTACCGGCTAGTTTTGATATTTTCTGAAAATATAGGTCTTGAGAAGTTCAGAATTCAAAATTACCTAAAATCCCTTTGGGGGAACACCTCCAAATTACGCATTAAAAATGGCCGCCAAATTATAGTTTTAGCTAAATAATATAAAAAATAAGAATACTCGAATAATCATCATCAAAAATTGGTGAAACTTACTCAAAATATTCGTTAATTATCGAAAATGAACCTTGCATTTAGAAAAACTACAATTTCAATTACCATAGCAACCGTCGCTATGCAAATTTAAATTTCCTATTTTATTCATGAAATTTAAGTATACAGGAAGCCTAAAGTTTATTAAAATCTTTATTTTCATAGGTTTTATGAATATGTTTAACATCTGAATCATCTATTATTATCATAGAATAGGATTATGTAAAAAAATGCTGAAACTTTGATATAATTGCATAGCAACACTCTTTTTATCGTCCATAGCAACGAAGCAAAATCAGCAGAATTGCTGTTCATTTGTCATTGACTAAGCAAAAATCATGAGATACAATATTTTTATATAATAAACATCTCTTATTGAACAAAGTTAACACATTGATGTATAAAATACAAGGCCATCACCATAGCAACTGTTGCTATGCAAATTTAAATTTCCTATTTTATTCATGAAATTTAAGTATAAGGGATGCTTAAAGCTTATTGAAATCATCATTATCATACGTTTATGAATATTTTTGTATTTAGGTTATGTATTATGGAAGAGTAATATTAAAAAAAAAACAACCAAGAAACACCTTTACTGAAGTGCTACGGAACTTTTATAACTCCATAGCAACGAATGGAATTCACATAATTGCTGTTATTATTTTTCTAAGAAAAATATATTATTAGATTGGCTTATACAATATTTTTTATACGATAAACAGCTTTTATAGAAAAGTGAATTTAATGGCGTAATAAAATACAAGGTCATCACTATAGCAACCGTTGCTATGCAAATTAAAATTTTCTAATTTTTCATAAAATTAGTATATAATAAAGACCTAAATTTTAGTAATAAATAAACTAGTATAGGATTTATGAAAAATGCTTGAAATGAATGAAATTTTATTGTCTTTTCAAATAGTAGTTGGTCTATCAATGCTTTTAATTAAGGTTTTTTTTGTAAATTTCATTAATAAAATATAAAATAATATATAGG